GTTCAGGCCCCACAACCGGACCCCCGCCAAAAAAAAGACTTAGCAAATATAGTAGTAGGATTTTATATTTATTAGTCTATATGGTCTCATTCCACAAAGGATTTGACATGGTTTTAAAAGCACAAAACTCTACATAAGTAAAATGGTATGATAGGGACAGAAAACAAAAACAATAATTGAAAAATATGGAATATGATATTAACATTAGGTGGAAAATAATATATAAACATAAAATACCATGTCAATTTTATTGTTACAATGCAATGGCAAAATTTACTCTGAGCTGATAACAAAAATGAAAAAAGAAGCATGATGAATATGTTTAACTTGTTTCTCTAAGGAAGCAAGGTGTTTTTTATCCTTAGCTTTGTGTATGTGTCTATGTAGGTGCATGCATGTGCCAGTAGTGGGGCTTGAATTCAGAGGCACTATCCCTTAGCTTTTATTTCTCAAGGCTAGTATTCTTTCACTGAGCCATACCTTCAATTTTGGCTTTTTGCTGGTTAATTGGAAATAAGAATCTCATAGAATTCCTGCTTAGGCTGCCTTTGAACTGCAATCCTCAGATCTTAGTCTCCATGAGCCAGTAGCACTTGGCTCTTACCTTTGTTTTTGAAGGCTATTTAGTTGGATATAAAACTGTTGTCTTTTTCAGTACTTTGAATATAACAGTTTCAATGCCTTGTCCCCAATTTTTCTTTTCCTCTAGTCCTGGGGTTTGAACTCAAGGCCTGGGTGCTGTCCCTGAGCCTCTGTGCTCAAAGGTAGAGATTTATCACTTAAGCCACAATGCCACTTCTGGCTTTTCTGAGTAGTTTATTGGAGATAAGAGTCTCACTGACTTTTCTGCCCAGGCTGGCTTTGAACCACGATCCTAAGATCTCAGCCTCCTGAGTAGTTGGGATTACAGGCATGAGCCATTGGTGTCCAGCTGCCCAATTATTATTGTTAATATTTTTGACAAGGGCTATTAGGGTTCTCCCTGGATATATTATTCTTCTCTTTATGCCTTCAATGTTTTTTTTTTCAGTGTTATCAGTTTGACTATTACATGATTAGGAATGTGGACTTTTTTTTTTTGGCAGTACTGGGGTTTGATCCCAGGGCTCTGTCAAGTGGGTACCCTACCACTTGAGCTTTGCCCTCAGCTCTCTATAGAGTTCCTTTAACTTCCAGATGCTTCTTTTATTTAGTCTAGCCTCTTTTCTGGCTACCTCAACACCTGTAGGTAGTTAGTTCTCAAGAAATTCTTCTAATACTTAAAGCTTTTCAATCTGTCCTACAACTCCTGTCTTAAACATCGTCTACTGTGCGAAAATAGTTTTCTGGATGAGGTAGGCAGATTTTATCATTGCTTTCTGCATGGTCACTACATGCCAGTGCTATGAACAGAAGTTAAAAAATATTTTTCAAGCCTCTTGAGTGATGCACAGCTACCAAATAGCCTTTGGAGTGGCAAGTATAATTTACCCATTGCTGAGTTGCTAAATAGCAACATATACCCATCAAATTACTGAGACTTTGTGAAATAATATTTTTCATTTTAATCTAGGTTTTGAGTACTAATATTTAATTTAAGGTTATTAGAGAAATACTAACTCATTACAGAGCAAAGATGTCTTGAAAAGAGACCAAGATTGAATGGAAATGCTAGTTGGGACCATGAGAAAGGACCATTAGACTATTATCAATCTCTACAGAAAATCTTTTTTGTGTGTGTGTATTTTCCATTGTAAACATTTAATCATTGCAGCCATTTACATTCTGTGTTATTATAATACCTCTGTTTTACTTTATATGCAGTAAGTCCTTTTTATTTTAGTTAATTAATTTGTGTTGGTCCTGGCATAAATTTATTTGTGCCTGGTCCTAGGGCTTGAACTCAGGGCCTGGACACTGTCCCTGAGCTTTTTTGCTCAAGGCTAGCTCTGTATGATTTGAGCCACAGCTCCACTTCTGGCTTTTGGGGGGGGGTAGAGGGGTCCGGTCATGGGGCCTGAACTCTGGGCCTGGGTGCTGTCCCTCAGCTCTTCAGCTCAAGGCTAGCACTCTACCACTTGAGCCACAGGAATCGAACCTAGGGCCTCATGCATGCAAGGCAAGCACTCTACCACTGAGCCACCTTTCCAGCCCTCACTTCTGGCTTTTTTTGGTGCTTAATTGGAGATAAGAGTGTTACAGACTTTCCTGCCCAGTCAGGCTTCTAACTGTGAGCCTCAGATCTCAGTCTTCTCAGTAGCTAGGATTATAGGCATGAGCTCCTGGCACCCAGCTTTTTATTTTTTTAATTTCCTAATTATTATTACTATTATTATTATTATTTGCAGTACTGAGGATTGTACTCAGGGCCTTGTATATGCTAGGCAAGTGCTTTACATCCCCAGCCCACAGGTTTCTTAGGTATGAAACCTAACTACTTCCTGTGAACTATTTGCATCCTCCTTGGTTATACACTGAGAATTGGTGTTTGATCTCAGAATGAATTAGGGTACAAAGAGGATCTGTATAGGGAAATTGGAATGGAAGTGTTGTGGTATTTGAGAAGAATTTCTCAGACATGACTCAGAAAGAGTATATAAGTACATCCTAAAGTCATATTTATTTATTTAGTGCTGGTCCTGTGGCTTGAACTCAGGGCCTCGTATTATACTTAAGCTTTTTTTTCCCCTTCCTTAAGGAAAACCATGAGCTTATTTGGTGTTAACTGGAGATAAGAGTTTCGTGTACTTTTCTGCTTAGGCTGGCTTTGAACTTCAATCCGCAGGTCTCAGTTTCCTAGGAAGCTAGGATTAGAGACATGAGTCACTGGCACCTAGCTAAAAATATCTTATTTATCTGTTTTTAAATTTGATCAGAACACTAGCCTAACTTCATCCTTTGTTAATTATTATTGTAATTGTATTGAGGCATGGTTCAGTGATTAGAGTGCTTGCCTTAGCATGCATGAAATCCTTGGTTAAATCCCTAGCACTGAAAAAAAATAAAAAATTAAAGAAATGATTGCTTATTTGAAGTGAGTGTTAGTAAAACCCATAAAGTGATAGTAAAACCCATAAAAAGAATAATACTTACAAGTAAAAAAATATTTTCTGAAGAATCTTAAGAAAAATATCCTGTGGCTTCTTTCCCCTACCCCATAGATATAGAAGGGGCATATGGTCTTTTACTTGCTACCTAGTAGGAGAGATACTAAGTGATCTATTTAAAGAGATGTAAAGAATTTCTCACCCTCTCATTGTGGTAAACAGAGAATAGAGGGCTGCCTTCTTGAGAAATCCAGGATCAATCTGTGGCTGGCCAGCTACTCCCATAGCAAGAGCTACACAGGAGGTTAGCTGTGTTGGAATTTACAAAGCATATGCTAGTGGAGTGTGACCTGCAGATCAGAGGCAGACCTAGTGGAAGAGAGAAGTAATCTGGAGCTGTTTGATTTCAATCAGGTAGAATCGCTAGCAGGGCAGTGAAGGTCCAGCAGTGAGTCTTTTGAGTGATAGCTAACAAGCCAGAAGGAACTCGGAGATGAGACTTGAAGCACTGACTAAGTAGATCTGAGGAAAAGTCTGCTTCAAACACCTTGAGACTGCCCTTTTGGCAGGACCACTCAAATTGGAATTTTCTTGTGTTTCTTTTCTTATTCTTCCTCTTTGGCATGCTCAACAGCTTGGAATAGGGAGAGGTTTGAGGGAGAGAAGAGAGGCAGTTCCATCCTTGGAACTGGGGAAAAGATTTGAATTACTAAGTGAAGACTGGTTTGTTACATAGAAAGAACATATGCTTTTCTGTTATTGAACACTGACAAAAAGAATAATGGGCGCCTGCTGAAGTACTCAAATGGTAAAGAGGAAACGATTTCTTATTTTATGCATTTTGAGAGTAAGTTAAGGCAAGCAGTTGTATTTGATCATATATTACTTAGTGCTTGTTAAATAAACACTGAAACACTTTTTCATGCTCAACACAGACCTGATATCCTATAAGATGACTCATTTATTTAATACTATTATGGTTATTTGTACTTAATATTTATTTCTCTCTTAATATTTGTTTCTTTTCTTTAGATTTTCATAGAGTTAGAACCAGAGGTATAATGTCAAATTACTTATTATTTTTCATTGTAAAAGATAGTATACTCTCAGAAAAGATAAAGGATATGTATAGTTTTATAATAATTATACAATAAGTACCCAGTAACTCATCCAGAGTGAAAATTGTGCACTAATGCTGGCAGAATGGCTCAAGTACTAGAGTGCTTGCCTCCTAGCAGGTGTGAAGCCTTGAGTTCAAATCCCAGTACCACACATACACACACACACACACACACACACACACACACACTCCCTCTAGTGTATCAGTCAATTTCTGTAGCAACTATATCAGTCAATTTCTTCCCAGACCCTAAGCAAATAGTCATTCCTTACTTAGTGGATCCAAATGATTATGGTCTTTTCATAAGAAGTAACCTCTATCCTGATTTCAGTGGCTATTTCTTTGCAATTTGATCATTCGAGTATATACACATAAGCATGCCCGCAATTAATTGATTGATTGATTGATTAACTAACATTTTTTTTGAGACCATGTCTCCCTATGTATCCCAGATTGTCTACAGATGGAGGATCCTCATATCTTATCCTCTCAAGTGCTGGGGTTGCTGTTGTGCATTACCAGGCTGGGTTCTGTTTTTAAATAATTGACTTCCTTTCAATAGATTAGAAGTTGCTTAAAGTTACAGATATTAAGATAAATGCAGTCATAGGGGATATTTAATTTCATTAAAATTTGGCTAAATATATACAATTGCTGTGCTATTACAATTAGGCATTGCTTTGAGCTTTGATTCATATTTGTTACCAATTTATTTCAACTTTCCCCCTATTCATCAGTGTGGATTATACAGTTTCACTAATATATTTTAAAAATGTTTATTACATCCAATGGAATAACTACATATGAAAGTTACCAAGTAATAATATCTCTTCCCCTCTTTTTCTTTCTTCCAGCATGGGTAGGTTCTCTTTCCATGGGGATGATTTTCTTTTGCTGCCCTATAGTCAGCATCTTCACAGATATTTTTGGCTGTCGGAAAACAGCTGTTGTGGGTGCTGCTGTGGGATTCATTGGACTCATGTCCAGTTCTTTTGTCAGGTAAGAACTTGGTTTCTCCCTGTGCTTTTGAAGAACTGTTAAACACCTCTTCCTTTTCATTGCTTGTACAACTTGTACTGTTCTTTATATCAGCAAATTAGAACTTGAGAATTTGAATGCTTTTGTTAGCAATTTGTAAGATTTAGCTGTCACTAGGATATATATGTATTCTCTGGTGCTAAGAAACATGTTTCTCCTTTTGTCTTTTTCTACCCACATAAAAATCTTGAAAGAATAATTTATAACTGTGAGTTATGTAGAGCAATGGCTTTAAGTTAAGGTCAGCTTGTCTTAGACATATCTTTTCTTAGGGTTACAGTAGTGTTTTGTGCTGTTTATTAGCTTGGTATAAAATTTCAATAGAAGCAATTCAACATGTCAGTTATGTATATAATGCATCTTGATCAGTGTCACCTTTTCATAATTTTTCCCTGAACCATCCCATCAAGTTACCTAGTTTCATTATCACATATGTACATTGAATTTGATGACTGAATTGAAACCCCTTTGTACTACTTAAAGATAATAAAACTAAAAGAAATAGAAACAAGCTTTTTAAAGTAATTTCTAGGCACAAAATTTTTATCTGTGCTTTAAAAATGAACATGTTAGGCTCATGCCTTTAATTTTAACTACTCAAGAGGCTGAGATCTAGCATCATGGTTTGAGATAAGCTCAGGCTGGAAAGTACATGAGACTCTTATCTCTAATCTAACACACACACATACACACAGAAACAAACATGTTAAAATATTTAAATACCATGATAAAGTGGTCAAATGTACATTAAAATAATTTCAGCCAGGAGCTTAGTGTCTTAAGCCTGTAATCCTAGCTACTCAGGATGCTGAAATTTGAGAATTAAAGTTGAAGTCAGCCCAGGCAGAACAGTCTGAAAGATTCCATCTTCAATTAACCAGTAAAATGCTGGATTGGAAGAATGACTCAAATGGTAGAGCACCAGCCATGAGCAAAATTGCCTAGCAAGTGTGCTGTGAGTTCAAACCCAGGTGTAAGCACAAAATCAAGAACAGAACAAATAAATGAAACTTTTGTGTTTTTTTTGTTGATTTTTGGGGGAAGGGGAGCACAGCAGGTACTCCTGGAGCTTAAACTCTGGGCCTATTCACTATCCCTGAGCTTTTTTTGGCCTATTCACTATCCCTGAGCTTTTTTTGCTCAAGCCTAGCATTCTGCCACTTGAACCACAGTGCCACTTCCAGCTTTTTCTGAGTAGTTTATTGGAGATAAGAGTCTCACCATCTTCAGATCTCAGCCTCCTCAGTAGTTAGGATTACTGGCGCCTGGCTAACAAAACTTAATGTTAACATACTATACATCTACCATAAGATTCTTCTTACAAAGAGCTAATGGGCACATTACTGTAACAGCTCCAGTTCTCCAGTAATACCCTTCCTTGCACCATTAGAACAATCCTGAGAAATACCTGTTTAGTATGACTCTCTGGTAGCGGGAAATAAACTTTTTTTTATTTTGAAAATCTTTTTAAAATTTATTTTTTTGGTGATACTGGGCTTGGACTCAGGGCCTCATGCTTGCTCTACCACTTGAGCCACCCCGAACTCAAGACAGCTTCTTTTTTGGGGGGGGGGCTGAACTCTGGGCCTGGGCGCTGTCCTTCAGCTCTTCAGCTCAAAGCTAGCGCTCTACCACTTGAGCCACAGCGCCACTTCCGGCTTTTTTCTTTTTGCTTATGTGGTGCTGAGGAATCGAACCCAGAGCCTCAGGCATGCAAGGCAAGTGCTCTACCACTGAGCCACCTTCCCAGCCCTCAAGACAGCTTCTTAAGATCATTTCCATTCTGTGTCTAGTTTTTTATCTTAATTTCCTTTTCCTTCTCTATCTAGTTTCATGATGCTTTAGTTGAAAAACATGATTTAATTGCTAGGGGAAAAAGTCAAACTTGCAACTCTTGCTTCATTTGTTTTTAAATATTTAGTGTTCAATCAACAGAATCCTTGGTTTTATTTCATCTCCTACCATACAAACTGCTTTCTCAAACCTAAAATGAGCCTCTTTATGTTTTTTACTTAACTTAAAATTTTGTTTGAAATTTTTTTTATTTTTGAAAACGTATTTTCTTAGATTCTATTTTATCTTTAAAATGCCTTTCCAGTTTCTTTCTTCTAAACTTTTTTTAAGAAAAAAGTTTTATTTGAAATAGAACTTATTTAGGTAATTCTGTGAGAACATTTGTTTTTAGTTCTTATTTGGTAGCAGTATATCATTTATTGATGGCATATCAGATATCATGTTTGATCTGGAAGCCTCCAGGTACTCTTTGTCTGTCGTGCAGCTCAGCCACTTGCTGAGAGTCTCTACATAGGCCTTGGGAGCTAAGGGGGAGGAATGGTATTGCTACCTAAACAGTAAGCAGAACACTTCAGACAGTTGCAATTATTTGGAAAGCTAAGTATGTAGGTAATCTGATAGATTGAAGTATTGCTTTATTTTTCTTCTCTATTATATCCTCTTTAAAGATAGAGAAGTTGTTTTGCTAAGCAGACTATGGGTAACTTGAAGTCATTTTTAACAGTTTTTCATCACGTGCCTGGTACAGAGGAACTGCTTACTGTGTTTGTTGAATAAAGAGTGGAGATTCAGTAAAGGGTGATCAGAGTGAAGAGAGTTATCTGGGAAAGCCTAAAAATAACCCCTGAGCCTGATTTAAAGATGGTGTTAGCTGGAGATTAATTGAAGGGGTAGGGGAATCTGAGAGAGAGGATTGCCAACATACCTTAATTTTATCAGGTTCTAGAGTTCCTTCTGACTACCTCAGCATGTTGCTAGATAAGCGTTATTATCTAAAATGTAATTATTAACCAACTTTATCTATTTAGTTTCTAATAAATTGTTTGCCTTTACTACTGATAGAACTTTTTGAATTGGACTTTTCAAAAAATTTAATTTCTTTTATTCCTTACCTGAATTGCTTCAAACATGATCCTTTGAAAGAATTATTTTGTACCATTATTTGGTTAAGTTGAAATTCTTTAATTCTTTATTATTCTTTGAGACATAGGTGGCCTTATAAACTGGGATCACGAGTGAAGACACCTAATTCAGTCTTTCTGCAATCAGGATATGATTTCTGGTTATCTTGCACAATGTTGGGAACAGTGTAATACAGGGTAAAGGTTGTTCTACAGTCCTTAGGCCAGCAAAAATGAGGCACAACTGTTCTTCTGTGCAAATGTTCTTGACCTAACTCTGGGGAGACTATTTCAAATGTACCCTTTTCTTTAACTAGGTTTCTTAGTCAAGTGGTCTTGTGGAAATGCTTTGATCACAGTTCTTATCCATGTGTTTCACCAGAAATCCATGAAAAGGGAGAACCAGTTGCCTTAATAGTTATGTTTAGTGCTCGATTCTTGATTTAAGTTTTTCTCCTCTGTCTTGGTTAACTTATACTTACAGAAAATATGCTTAGCTAAAACGTACTTTTATTATATAAGGTTTTATTCCAAATATAATTAAATAATAAATAATTTAACAATAACAAATAATTAAAAAGCTGCTTTCCATCTTTTTCATCTTTTTACAGTTCCATCGAGCCTCTGTACCTTACTTATGGAATCATATTTGCTTGTGGCTGCTCCTTTGCATACCAGCCTTCATTGGTCATTTTGGGACACTATTTCAAGAAGCGCCTTGGACTGGTGAATGGCATTGTCACAGCTGGCAGCAGTGTCTTCACAATTTTGCTGCCTTTCCTTTTAAAGGCTCTGATTGACAGCGTCGGCCTCTTTTTCACCCTGAGAGTCCTCTGCATCTTTATGTTTGTGCTCTTTCTGGCTGGCTTTACTTATAGACCTCTTGTTTCCAGTGCCAAAGATAAAGAGAGTGAAGGTAGCAGATTCTTCCTTTTTTCCAGGAGAAAGTTCAGTCCTCCAAAAAAAATTTTCAATTTTGCCATCTTCAAGGTGACAGCTTATGCAGTGTGGGCCGTTGGAATTCCAATTGCACTTTTTGGATACTTTGTGCCGTATGTTCACTTGGTGAGTATATATACTTGCTGGTAATTAACATTATCTTCACATATGGGAAAACTTAGAAAAGAAAGCTAGGTCTGGTTGACATTGGCCTCAGACATTACTCTTGTAATTTTGGAGACTTGCAATTAGAGATCTTTAAATACATAGTCAATTCATCAGTCAGACAATTAAACAGAGTCTGTTTTATGGGGTGAGTTGATATTTAACAATCCCCCCCTCAAAAAAAAAACACTAGAAAAGGACAGCTATCATCTTGGACCAAATTGCATCAATGTAAAACATTTGAAACATCACTTTTTCTGGAAGTAGCTTACTAATCTTTGTCAGGATAAAACCAGTATAATGACTAACATTTTTAACAGAGGATATAGAAATTAGGTAATTAACAACAACAAAAAGCCAGTAACCTTGACACAAAAGAGCATTAATCTACTTGTGAAATGCTTCTGGGAAAACAATTCCATTCAGAAGACTATTTGATTAATGTCATGTTCTAAACAACAGAAGAAAGCTAGTATCTCATTGGTAATAAGGATTTCAAGAGCTCACACAGTTTATTTTGTTTATTTCAGTTTCAAAGGCAAAATCCACTTCTTTATACTAAATCAAGAATATTCAGTATTAAAGTATTTGCCCTTGGGAAGATTTGCTCAAAAGTGTACATTACATTTCTTCCCCTTTTTCACACTATTTGTAGTGAAAAATGTATGTATTCTTTGACAGATGATAAGTGATAAAAATAATACACTTCATTTTTTCTTTTGTCATGAGAACTTGGGTCTTTTTTAGCTTATAGTCTGAACATTCATGAAGTTTTTCTTTTAAGAGTTTTGGTGACAATTTGTAACATCCATTTGGAGAATTACTGGCATTAAGGGGTCAGCTAGTAACTATATCATAAAACTTCAGTTTATGCTCAATTCACAAAGTAACTAGGCCAAGAAAACATTAAGAGAGGTGGTAGACATGTCCAAAATTTAACAATAATTCAGATTTCTCAGTTCTTACTCTCTTCTTGCCAGGATAGTGGAGAAAGCAATGGAGCTGACCAATGGGCAGACAGGAGGAAATGCTAGGTTTTAGTACCCTGGGTCACTTGGCATTTTTCAGGGTCAGAGATACTAGCAAAAATTACCTAGTATTTACCTATAACTTATTTTATAGTCCTTTTTCATACTTTTAAGAAAATGTCTCCAAAACATCTGGAACCTAATTTTTAATAGCATGTAGCTCTAACAAGGAAGAATTACCTTTACTAACCTATCTTAGCTTCTTAGTCAAGAAAACATTTATGAGTCCTTTAAGATATTGAGACTTTTTTTTTTTGAAATAGAGATTTTACTGTATAGCTCAAACTGTTCTTGAGCTGTGCTATCTAGCCCAGGCTGGCTTCAAACTCCTTCCATCTTAACCTCCTGAATGCTGGGATTACAGTAATGTGGAACTACACTCAGCTTTTTTTCTTCCCTCTTTTGTGCAAAAGGTGAACACATTCAGAGAAATCAGGATCTCTGCTAACACCAGACATTTATTAAGGGGACAGGTGGTGACAGGTGATTAGATGATTGTCTTGTTATTTCTGGTTATGTATGTGTAATTTTTTTTTCTTGTCCTGAAGCTTTACTCGGGGTCTGGGCACTATCTCTGGGCTTCTTTTGCCAAAGGTTTGCACTCTACCACTTGAGCCACAGTGCCACTTCCAGCTTTTTTGAGTCATTTATTGGAGATAAGAATCTCATGGACCTCCCTGCCTGGAATGACTTTGAATTGTGCTCCTCAGATCTCAGACTCCCGAGTAGCTAGGATTACAGGTGTGAGCTACTGGCACGTGGCTAGGAATTTTCTCTTTTTCTAGCTATTATGTCACTGAAAGCCAGATTGTAGAGGAAACACTAGACCATTACATACTATGCAGCTTGTTAAATCTTGTCTCTATTAGATGCGAGGAGTTTGTTACTTGGTTAAAATTTAAAGTTTAGATGTGGGTACTTCATGGACTAGGATGCCAGTTTCCTCCTAAAATGTCTAGACTAGGAGATGATGTTCAATTCATTTTCAGTGCTTGATTGTTGGAAGGGACACATGGGACATGTTCTGAAAGAGCATGCAGCCTAACAACTGCAATAATAAAAACTGTTGTGCTGGGCGCTACTGTCTCATGTCTGTAATCCTAGCTACTCAAGAAGCTAAGATCTGAGGACTGGGTTAAAGCCAGCCTGGGCAGGAAAGGCGGTGAAACTCATCTCCAGTTAACCACCAGAAAACCAGAAGTGGCGCTGTGGCTTAAAGTGGTAGAGTGCTAGCCTTGAGCAAAAAGGCTATGGACAAGTGCCCAGGCCTTGAGTTTAAAAACAAACAAAAAGTGTAGTGGTTTATAAAGCCCTTTCACATAATTCTCTTATCTAATTTTTATAGCAATGCAAAATATTATCCATATTTTCTCAATGAAAAGATGAAGGCACTGAAAGATTAAGTAATTTAATCAAGGCCACAGAAGTAGTGACTGATATAGTGTGGTATTTATATGTCAGAGGAAGCCTTATATATGGGCTTAAGGGTGGAGATTCTAGGGTTAGACAGATATGGGTTTTAATCCTGTTTTTGTCCCTTACTAAGTTACATACCTTAGGCATCCTCTCTAAATTCCAGTTTCTTCTATCTATAAAATAGAGATAATCCCACTTTTACAAAGTTGTTTTAAGGATTAGAGAAAGTGAACATAAAACATACATCTCAATTTGTAAAGACAATGTGATTACCAGTTAAGCAGTTTCAAGAGGACATATCAAAGATTCGTAGGAGAAATGATGATTTCCATTTGGAAAAGTAGTTATAAAATGCTGCATCCAGGTGCCCATGGTTTACACCTGTAATCCTAGCTGCTGAGATTCAGAAGATCAAGGTTTGAGGTCAACCTGGATAGTAAAGTTTGCAAGATCCTACCTATCTCAACCAAAAATTGGGTATCATGGTGCATGACGATTATCCCAGCCATGACTGGAATTTAAAATAGGTGAATTTTCACAGGCTGGAAGAGAAGCCTCATCTAAAAATAAGCAATGCCAAAAAAACAAAAAAAAGAGGGCTGGAGGTATGCCTCAGTGGTAGAGATCTGCCTATCACTGTGAGAAGAATAAAAACTTCATCTCTTGTTTTGTGCTAAAACAGGATCTTTGGTAAAAAGAAACTAAAATTTCAGTTTAGGTCTTGAAGAGTCAGAAATGAAGCATTCTCATGACTATTAAATATTCCAAGATCTTGGCTGGTCATCTGTGGCTCGTGTCTATAATCCTAGCTATTCAAGACATGAAATCTGAGGATTGAGGTTCAAAGCCAGCTGAGGCAAATAAAGAATTGTATTTCCTCCTATAAACTGTCAAATGACATCCTTTTAAAGCTGTTTCCACATATCATCTCATTAAAGGTACATTCTTATAAATCAATTACATGAGATACAACTTCTTAAATCTTTCTAGTAGCAGCTGCTGTTCAATCAATCTATCTATTTATCTATCTATCTATCTATCTATCTATCTATCTATCTATCTATCTGTCTGTCTGTCTGTCTGTCTGTCTGTCTGTCTGTCTGTCTGTCTGTCTGTCTGTCTGGGCAGTCCTTGGCTTGCTAGGAAACAGTTGGCTTGCTCTCCTACTCCAGCCCACTTCCCCAATTCTTTTTGCTTAAGTTATTTTTTCAGATAGGCATTCACATTTTTTGCCTAGGGTTGTTCTGGACCACAGTCCTTCTACCTATGCCTCTCATGTAGTTATGACAGGCACAAGCCACCATATCCTGTTTGTTGAGACAGTGGTCTTGCAAACTTCTTACCTGGGCTGCTGCAGAACTTTGGTCCTCCTAATCTCTGCCTCTAAAGTAGTTGGGAGTGGAAAGGTAGAGCACTTGCTTTGCATGCCTGAGGCCCTTGGTTTGATTCCTCAGCACACATAAGCAAAAAGAAAAAAGCCGGAAGTGGCGCTGTGGCTCAAGTGATAGAGCACTAGCCTTGAGCTGAAGAGCTGAGGGACAGCACACAGGCCCAGAGTTCAGGCCCCCACAACCAGACCCAAAAAAAAAAAAAAAGTAGCTGCGAGTATAGAGTTGTGTTAACATGTCCAATCTGAGAGCTGTTTTGTATTGTTTTCTGAGTTAACCTTTTATTGTTCTTCCTTACCATTTACTTAGCTTCTAGGAGTATGACAAGCTTTTGACTTTTCCCTAACTCCTCTTCTCCTCTTCTTCCTCCTCCTCCTCCTCTTCTGCCTCTTCCTTCTCCTCTTCCTCCTCCTCCAAGTTTTTTTTTTTTTTTTTTGCTGCCCTTTGCCCCTAACTCCTAAATATCAGTATGTTCTCTTTGATTTTTTTATTCTATGTATTTCACTGGTGATTTCATCTGGTCTCCTGAGTTTAAACATCACATTCATCAATAACTCTCAATTTATGTTTCTAATTCAGACCTTTTTCTTGGATCTTCCACATGTTTAGACATAACGTGCCCAACCCTGAAGTCCTGATCTTACTCTCAAAACTTGCTCTGCTCCTGGCTATCCTTATATCAGTTGGTAAGTCATCCTTCCAGTTGCCTAGGGCCCAAATATTGATGTCATTCTTAGCTCTTCTTTCTTGCATATCAAACCCTTGATCTAGTCAGGAAATCCTGCTGTCTATCTTTTCAAAATATATCCAGGATCCAACCATCTCTGACTATCCTCAATACTAATAATTTAGCCCAGGCTACCATCCCTTGGCCTGCATCATGCCAATAGCCTCCTTCTTTTCCTTCTGCCTACCTTCTTCTCTTCCTCCCCCTCTTTCTCTTCCTTCTTATCCTTCTGTACTAGGGCTTCAATTCAGGGCCTTTTGCTCTCACTTGGTTTTTTCATTCAAAACTGACAGACTATACTTCTGGATTTCTGCTGGTTAATTGGAGATAATAGTCTCATAGATGTTTCTGCTTGATCAAACTTTGTTTTTTTTTTTTTGGGGGGGTCCGGTCATGGGGCCT